CAATTAATTAGTACTCGTAGTTCCGAAAAATTCAAATTTATTAAATAATTTTTAAAATCCTAGCTTACATAGTTATCACTCGATCAGTAAATCGTTCCGCAAAACTGATTTCATAAAATTAGTGTTTTGTTTTGGAAAACCACTTGTAGTAGTGGAATGGGAACATCAAGCACTATTTCCAAATTTTGTACCAGTTGTATAAAATTTTGTTTTAGTCACTATATTTAGCTTTATTGACGAATTTCTCGTAGAATCTTTCTGTTTAGACTTTCGCCCAATTCTAGTTTCTAGAGAGTCTCTCTGTTTGTTGTTACGTTTTGAGTTTTGCTTACTTTATAATCATGAATATTTTTTTCTAAAAATCTCTTGTATAATGTTTCAAAATTTAAAGGACATCATTACAACAATAGCAGATACGAAGTAAAGAAAATTTTCAATATTTTAATTTAATTTAATAATTTCTATTCTTTCCACTGGAAACCCTGGAGATTATAAGATCAAATCCTGAACCATTTTTTAGCACTTCCCTTAAAAATTGCATAGCTAAACAATTATCAGATCGTATTAATCGCTTTAAATGCCAATCATTACAGTGGCGACCCCTGACCTTTTGATTGATGAGTTAAATATGAAGATATAAAACAGACTGTTATTTATTACCAATTAATTGTTTGACGGAAATAAATACAAAAATACATTCAAAAAAAGTAGAAAAGTGTTTATCCACATACTATCACTATAATTTTATCGTCGTAAGACAGACGATGATTTTTTATGAAATATTCAACTGAATTCATTATTTTTATTTAAAATCAAATATTTTAAAAGTCATAGTATAGATATTTTTACGAAAGAAACCCATACCCCGCCCCGGTACGACGCCTATGGGTTCTTGTATGTACATACAGCAAGGATGACTCAGCGGCCGGGCGGGGTTCGCTAAAGAAAAGCCTGGAAGTCGCGATTTGTATTCCAAAAAGACCTTGCGAAACATCTAGAAGACTTTAAATAGAGGCCACCTTCGGAACGAGATGATTCAGTCAATTCAGTCCTCGAGAGTACAGTCAAGTTGCGCCGGAATTATTTTATACATAATCGCTGTGTAATTAGTCGTGTAAATTCGAGTTATTGAGAAATAGATTGTTGAGTTTACCCACGTCGATTTTTAATACCCATAACCCATAACACATGCAAATATTGTTTTCTACGTCAGTGTTGTATGTATTAACAAAGTCTTGTACTACGTTTTACCAATTAATATCAAGTTAACACATCTAAAGAAATAGTTAAAAATAGTAAAAGCTCTTCGAGAATTTTGCGGATTAATACAGTTGTGAAATAAATGAACTGTCGAGCATAAAACACATTTCCCTCTGACTACGAAATAACAAATTAATAACAGAGTTCCAAGAAACTTTAAAAGACCAAGCTCTATACAAATTCAGATAACACTAATTTATGCAAACATGAAAAGCACATTAATTAAAAACAACAGTTCAGCAAACTGTCTCGGTGTCATGGTAACTGCAGTAACGGTCAGTTTTTTTTAATTAGAAAATATATCAATTTGTAACCTGTACGTGAATAATACGTACGTTCGACCTCTCATTTCCGTATCTTAAAATTAATTAGATCTTCTGTCGTTGGTGATTTTATTAGATGTCTGAAATTATCTGAATCTCCTTAAAAAATTTAAGACGGTTAAGGCCTATCAAAAGGTTGGTAATGCCATTTTAAGTATGATTAAATAAATAAAAAATGCCCTAAGATTAAAATTTCTTTGGGCCCCGATCTTAAATTTTTACTTTTCGAACTGGATTTGATTACATGAAGTTTCTATAAAGAGAATGAAGTGGGTACAATTTATTCGGCAAAATTTTGAGATGACGTCATCAATTTTTTGGGGGGAATAAACAACTGATTAACAATTTACCATGCTTACAGTAACTTTAAAACGTCTGCAGGATTTCAGAGTATTCAGTGTTGCAATTCTTGATTTATTCAATAAAATAAATTGACTGATTCATCTTTTTTAAGTGACCTTGTATAAGCAAATATAAAAAATGAGATTCTTGATTTGATCAATAAAAAATTGATCGAAGGTTATAAGTACAATACGACAAATCCATCTTTTTGAAAAAATTATACGATTTTCGTTTTGTGATAACCGCTGTAAAGTAAAAACCAGAAGCATAAATAACACCCCTTGTCCTTCAGCTGTAGGTAATAGCAATCTGAAGTGCAAGTGTTTAAGTTTATACATCGAAAGAATGTCACGTAGAAGTTAGCATGATTTGAATGAGTTTGTCTTCTCAAATCGGGACTAAAATTTTCAATTCAATCACAATGGAACAAAATCTTATATTATTATAATTTTTATTTTATCATTATTATATAAAGACGTGCGTATTCTTCAAATTTTCGAGAAAATGGGGTGACTCGTTCTTAATTTGACCAATAAAAAAATTGTGATGACGTCATCAACATGGATAATTCTCGTCACAGTGGGCTACGGAGATGTTCAAACCGTGTCGGGAATAAAACGTTATTATAGCTTGCAAATTTCTTGGGAAAATTTGAACGTTTAGCGAAAAAACTGAAAGTGGAGTCGTACACTACAAGTATATGAGTATATTTTTGTGTAACATTCAAATCATTTTAGAATACCATTCTTTGAAATGACGTCAATTGTTGGTGGGGATGATTGGCCAAATTTTGGTTAGTATTTAACCATCTACATGATATTTTCTAATATACGTACAAAATTTGACAACAATCGGTCCAATGGAGATTACGTGTCTAATAAAAATGCATACATACATACAGACAGACAAACAGACAGACAGACAGACAAACTGACAGACGGAAACGGGACATTACTTTTTTCGTACTGTAGGGGTCACGAAACGTCGAGAAAAAAAAGTGACCATTCCGATAACCTAAATTACAATACTTCCTTCGCTTACGCTTGGGAAGTAAAAAACGAAAAATTGCGCGCAATCTGCACAGGTACGGAAAACATTAAATATATCTAAAGCAGATAACCACAGCGAAAAATACGACGTAATCTACAAATACTATTTGAGTAAGTAATAGAATTAACTAATTAGAGAATTTTTTTCTTGTGCTCCTATTATCAAACTTTATCCACTATGTCACTTTGAAATAGTCAATAACAAATTTTGACAACAGGAAGTAAGTGAGCTTGCACTTCCATCAATTTTAAGCAAAATTTGTTCATACCATGAAACAATTTTTGTGGAACAGTGATCACGGTGTATATTATTAATACATAATACATGCTTAACTTTTTATGTTTATACATCGAAAGAATCCGACTATTAAGCACTTACAGATGCTGGTTGACCAGAACAAGCGGCGGCGGCGGCAGGGATTTGTATTAAAAGAAAATGACTAATTACATTGGTCAACAACCAAAATACTCCTTCAATAAAAATGTGTGCACTTAATGCAGTTTTTCATATAGATTTCAAATCTGCTCTCCAAATTTTTCCATCACGTCACATTTTTGTGCTACACGTAATTTTATATCGTAAAATTGTCATTTTTCACATAAAACGTGCATCTGTACTGCCCTTATTACACCAGTTGAAAAAATCAGATTCGATGATTTAGTCAAGTAGGCATGTGTCACAATTTAAATGACATTTAGAAGTTACGTCAAAATTCTCGTTGTGTGTAATTTTGCAAAATGAGTGTAATACTAAAAAAAGATCGCACTTACAATTGGTTTCACAAAAAACAGGACAAGATGAGTAAATCAGGTGCTCATAGATCGAAAAGGAATGGGAATATGACGTTTATGTCACTTTCATTTGTCCCGTTTTTTTTTTGAAACCAATTGTATATGTGTAAGAACAACCCTAATGTATTTTGTTACATCTGCGGCCAATATGCTATAAAATGTCAACGTCTGCATATATCGCATATTATTAAATTGATATATCACCAATATCTCGGTCTCGAAGCAAGGGATCAGGATAAACAATGGGAGATTATTGTTGGTTCCTGCAAAGGGAGTGTTCATCGAATTGTTACAGTCGTCAAGCAAAAAGAAAACGATTTTAAGCATCTAAAATTAATTAAAATTATTTATTCAAATCCTTATAAATAAAATTTGCTAATTATTTCATAAAAATTATTATTATTGGGCAAGGTATTATTTTTTTGAAAAGTGCTAAAATCGTGTTTTTTCGTATTTTGGACTCCAATAAAAATTAAACTAGACGTGCACAAACGGCAAAAATAATTTTTATAGAAGTTTTAGGATACAAGGAAATCATTTATGCCCAAAAGACAAAAAGCGTATGACTGCGATTTTTTTTTGTAGACCTGTGATTATTATCAGTTAAGCTACCATGGAGGAAAACGTTGTGAATACTATTTTTGGTAAGTAGCTATTGTTATGATAATTATTACGCCTCCTATTTCATTATTATTAAATATGGGAAAGAGGGACAACTTTAAGATATTTTTATATCCCACTGTTTAGAACCACTAACATTTTGTAAACACGTACAACATCTAAGTTATTGTTTTTTTGAATAAATCAGTATTAAGCTTTTTACTGATCCCACAATTCTACCCTAAAATTGTTCAGTTTGCTAACTTTCCACATATTTAGAGGCATTCTACTATTTCACTAGTTTCTAAGAGGACGAATAGAAATGAAGTAGTGAATTACAGACCCATATTTCATCATGAGTTTGTGAAGTTTGTGACTATATCTACACATGATATTTTATTAGTCAAACTGATCATTTTTTCTGATTCATTACTGTATTTAATGACTTCTTATTTATATAGAACTCACTGTATTAAATATAATGACTTTGGATGTATCAGACAATATTCTCGCTTCGCCTCTTTGGACTTTGCACCCCCCCCTCCAATTTTCGAGAGTACTTCAAGGATTGGTGTCTGGACCTCTTTTGTTTTTGATTTATATAAATTTAAAAATCTTCAGTTTTCTTCATGTATACTACAAAATGACCTCCAACAATTCCTTCATGGAGAAATTCTCACTATCTTCCAGTAAATATTGACACGTACTTTGTAGTCATTCTCTAACAAAAATACTCAAAATATTTGTATCTCTTTAATTTCAAAAACACTATTTTGTCCAGAATTGATTCCTTTTGTGATTTGGGTGTCACATTAGATGCCAAACTCAATTTTCTAAAACGTGTTAATGACACTGCTCTAAAGTCACTTGATTTTATACTATTTGCGGATTCTGTTCTTACTGATAGAAGATCCAAACTTGAATCTGCAAAAAGTAGAGGATCGTTTAGATTTAAAGATTTAAATCCAACAGAGGTCATTTAATCAATCTTTCACTGTTTCAAGGCCAGAAATATATACTTCATTCTTCGAAAATTTTGAAATGTGAATATGTTTGTATTATGTTTTTTGGACAAAACTCAGAATATCTGAATGTTCAACGAGACGTACTTTTTAAATTGCCACTAAAATTCTGCGACGATGATTCCCTAGTTATCAATATTTCTGGTATTTTTATACAACCTACTTGTAACTTCGAAAACCTCAAAATACATTTTAAAAATATTCGTTTTCGCCCGACCTCAGAGAGGACCCGTCCACTGTTGAGCTGAAAAACGGTCGTTGTAATGTCCTCAGACGTCGTATTGTTAATTCATTTCTTGTGTCAGCAACTTCGGTCTCTACGGGTGCTCAAATTCGTGGAATTCATTTAAAAGATCGTGAGTCCCTCCGTGATACTCGCAATTGTAATTGAGTGGGTTACCAGGCGCCGGATCAGGCGATTATTCCGGGTCTCTCCGGGGTCTCTGTCATTTTGTCACACCGCGTGATTTAGTAACGAGTTGCAGGCTGGCGACCAGCGAAAAAAGTCACTTTTGACCGAGGACGAAGGTCAAAGCCGGCAGGTTGTTTCCAGGCAATAAACATCGCAAATCCTCGCTGTCCTGTTCCGGATAGTGGGCAGAAAAACGAGAAAAAGACCATGTTTATTATGTCCATAAACATGTCACATATCGTTTTTTGCTGATTGTTTCTTTTATATATAACCGTTTAGATAATGGTTTGTCGCGAAGGTGATCCGGTATGCGGATTTTGGAAGACATCCGGCCAGCCTTCGCTGGCGTTGGTAGCGTACAAGATTTACTGTTAGTCATATGTGATATATTGTCGCAAAAAGCGTAAATTATGTTGACTGGTCTATCTAACGAGTTTTATTCAAGATTGTGCCGAGTCTGTGACATAATAACCTAGTGACTCATCTAATTTATAAATTTCAAATTTATGGCTGCTGGATTTATAATCTCATCTTGAACTAATTTTGGCCAGAATACATAAGTTTTGCAATTTCGATTAGTGGGAATAAAAATAGCTATTACAGATTTGCAGTTTCTCTTTTTTATTCGTATGACATCATATTAAGGACAAATTGCACACCACCGTTCTAATCACAAAGGACATTGAGTAATTTTCTTAGTTCATTTATGCGACAATAACGCCGGTCAAATGAAAGTAAGCATTATTTAGAATGATAATAAAGTAAAGCACCAAACGCAATAAAATCTTAACAAAAGCAGGTCATTGGAACTCACTAAAAGCTTCATTTTTCACTGATTTATCCACCTCAATCCGTTACTATGACGTCATCAAATATTTAAGTTAATTTTTTTGCAACTTATCAACCTTCATGGAATCGCCAGTTTACAATAATAGCTAGAAAAAAAGTTTTAGGAAAAAACCTTCGATTATAAATGGTTTGTTTAGTTCTTTTTAACGATTGTATCAAATTGATGTGTAACATTTAACATAGAACAACTAACCATATTGGCCTCTAACGCGTCACAATTAGGTATATAAATCATACAAACCGTCTCTGTATTTGGATTATAATTTTTTATGACAAAATCGTAATTAGGCTCGTAGTTGAAGTCCAAATTTTTTAGGAATGAGAAGAGTCGAAGTTTATCCAGGAATAACGTACGTAGTATGAAGAAATTACTATTACTGAAATGTTGTTATTGATAATGTAATGGATTTAACGCAAACGCTGAATGAATCACTGATATCAAACCATTATACTGACTATAGCGATAATAAAATAACTAGTACACACCTCTAATGTTCCATGCACTATTATTATCACATTTCTTTGTCTTCACCAACGGTTTGAGTAGAAAAAATATACAGTCGAGGACTCTACATATATGTTCTATATACCTACAGTGTTTTTTATGGATTGATGTACAATTAATGTTTTTTTATGATGCTCAGAAAGTACAAGTTGACAAGGGTATACAGAATTACGTACAGAAAATTTTGAAAAATATTAACCTTTAATTTCTAGTAAAATGCTTAATAATGATATTACAAAAAAGATGCGAGATATACAAACACAGATAAGATTGCAAGCGAAGAGAGAAAGTTGTTAAAATCGGATTCTATAAGCTAAGTATAGATGGGAAAACATGGAAATGGGATAAAACCCAAAGAAGATTGGAGCCAAAAAACTAAGAAGGAACGTAGGGGAAACAAAAACAATAACGAAGGCGGCTCTGGACAAGGACAAAAAAAAAGGAAAACGAAACACATAATAACAAAGGGGCAAGAGAAGAGGAAGGAGTAGGTAGAAAAAGACCAGAAGTACTCTGGGGTGCAAAGAAACCGAAACGAAGCAAAAAATTTTCGAAATGAAACAATGAACGTGGAATGTCAAAACCATGTTGAAAACATCTAAGTTGGTCCAAGTTCTAAAAGAGATGGACCTTTTGAATATCAAAATTTTAGGAGGATGTGAAATAAGATGACCAGAAGTAAGAGAACTCAGAAACACAAATGGAAGCCTGTTATTATGCTCAGGGAAAGAAGAAAATGAAATAAAAATCTGGAATCCAATTTCGGACAGAATAATAACTGCCAGAATAAAAACCTCCATCAGGAAAATTAAAGCTATCCGGTGCTATGCACATACAGAAGTGGCAGAACAGGAACAAAAAGAAAACTTCTAAGTACCAACAACTACCAGACATAACAAACAAGGCTAATAAAGGAAACATAACAATTGTAGTGGGAGACTTAAATGCCAAAGTAGGAAGCAAGATCGAAATAATCGAGAAGACAATGGGTAAACACGGGATAGGAATGATGAACCACAATGGAGAAAGACTGGTGGAGCTATGTTTAGGAAATAACTTTGTAATAGGAGGAATATTATTTCCACACAAAACTAGCAACAAGATAACATGGGTATCACCGGATCAGAAGACACAGAACCAAATTGATTATATACTGATAAGCAGACAATGGAGAGGATCTCTAATGCATGTACAAAACAAAAGATCAGCAGACGCTATTAATAGTAGATATAAGGATAAAACTAAATGCCAGAAGAAAACACAGAAATCTTATAAGACAAAAGAGATTTAACCTGAGAAATGAAGAAAAGATAAAAGAAATATTTTAAGGAACAGCTGAAGAAGTTTTGTGATATCAAGAAGAAAATAGGAAGGAATGGGTGAGCGATGATACATAGAAACCAATTCAAGAAAAGAAAAGAATAAATGTAAAACTGCTAACGACAACTGAAGAACAAGTAAAACGATGACAAGAATATTATAAAGAGATGTAAAGCATAAACAAACAGTTCAACAACAAGAAGAAAATCATGTCAACTACTACACAGAGTCCATTTGTCAGATAAAATAAAAATACAGAAAGGTGTTAAACAAGGATGTATTCTATCGCCTATATGTTATTCAATATATGTTTAGACTACATATTGAACAAAGCAATAGAAAAGAAAAACGGAATTGCATGGAACTACTTTCAGGGAAAAAGATTAACAGACCTCGAGTACGCAGACTTAGTTTCAAGATCAATTGAAGATTGGATGGGAAAATGTTACAAAATTTAGAAGAACAAGCAATGAAATTTGGATTTGATATAAATGTACAGAAAACAGTCGAAATGAGAATAGGCATGGAAGAAAAGCAAGAAAAACTCTGCTTAAAGGGAAAGGAAATACAGAAAGTGAACCAATTTTGCAACTTAGGCAGCATAATCAGTAGGGAAGGAGGAGCAGTATTCGACATAAAACAGAGGATATGGAAAGCAGAGGGGCGTTTGCGAAATTGAAAAATATGGAAGCTCAGCCTAGCTGCAAAGTTTTATTAACAAGGGTTTGCAAAAAAATTTAAAAATCTTCTGGCCCAAGACCATCACAAGTAAAGAGCTATGGGCAAGATTTGTGCAAGAACCAATAAGAAAGGAAATAAAACGAAGAAAATAGAACTGGATAGGGCACATTTTGAGAAAAGAACTTGATGAAATCCACAGACATGCACTAAATGGACTATGGAAGGGAAACAAAACAGAGGAAGACCACGTTTAACCTGAAAAACAGAAACAGAAGAGGAACGCAAGAAAGTAGGGGAAGGATGGAAAAATTCGCAAAAATGGCAATGAATAAAAAAACAGTGGAGGCACCTCGTGGAAGCGCTATGCTCCGTAGTAGAGTAAAAGGATATTATAACTACATATTAGTACTTATCTACTACCCAAATTTAGTTCCATTGGAAATATGATATTCTTCACTTTGTCACAGCTCGGTTTTTGCACTCTTTCTATACGAAAATTTGGTTGATTTTGTTATATATTCTAATATAATTTTTATGGTTCCATTAATTTTTTTGAAAGTGATCAAGAAACAAGTTTTAATTAAATCAATACTAAAATTTCGAAGTCGTCTATTGTTGGGTAAGACCCGCGAAGAACGGCTAGGGTTCCACCCACTATCCTTTCACTTTTGTAAATTTTATAAATACTAGTAAGAGTCAATTACTGAGGTATAAATATAAGTCTTCCAAGATACTGCGATTTTATTTTCTCATCTGTGTGCCATTATGGTAACCCGTTGTGACCATAAGCGAGATTTTAAATTCAATGTAGCATTCCAGTTACATACATTTTTTGTTTTTCCAGTCGGATTATACTTTTTTCGGTCCTCCGAACCGGATCGTACATCATTTCTACGACAACTGTAAAATTGAATGATACAATAAGAGTCTTCAAAGCAGTTTGTTAAAAATCTGGATGAATTGTTTGAAAGCATGTTATCCATCCTATATTGTTAAACTGAAATTTACTTAACAATATTGGGAAATGACGTTATTAGTTTTTTGGAGTTGATTAAAAGGCAAATTTTGAATAGCGTTTTACGTGACAATTTTTGCAAATTTTAGTCTAATGCCATAGCTGTTAAGGTTTTAAGCAACTTCCACTTTTTACTTGGCGTGCGTAACCTAAGAAGTATGTAATAGGGTCCATCCGGCGAAATTACTATTTTTATCAGATACAAATCTCCGAAACTACTGGATCGAATATTGTCAAATTTTATATGTAGGTATTTTAAGAAAATCGTGTAGATGGTAAAACGTTAATCAAAATGTTGCATAGCAAATGTTATTTGAATTTTATAATATAACATACTACTAAAGTTGTGGTTTATGAATCCGCTTTGATTATTTATTCTAGACATCCAGATTTTTGGAAAAAAATCAAAATTGTCAAACAACGTTTATAATTTACCTTTGAAACTTCAAAACCGAATGATGTGAAATCTTGTAATGTTGTAAGGTCATCGTAAGCTTGGTAAATCGTTATCAAATTTCCACGTCAGGTCTTCCATCAGAAACAACACATTTCGTTTTCTTGTAGTAATGTACATCACAATTTCGAAAAATCTTCTTCTGAAATAGAGTGATAAATTTTTTGTTCTACTACGACCTTCTAAAGATAAGTGTTCCATAATATTTATTACATAAAATGAATTTAAATTACTTCTAACACTTATTTTCCGCATCCTTGGCAAAACAGAACCCGAACAATTTGTCTTACTGCATTTTTTGACTCTTCGTCTAATTTATCAAAAGTATCTTGACGTTTTGTGCTTTTTGTTAAATGACGTAAGATTTGTGGCAACTTTAATTTCCTTAAAAGTAAATCACTCACAAGTTCACACTTCACATTTGTTACAAGGCAACAAACGTTTGCTAATTCTTTCCTCTCATTTATCACTCCACTCATAAGCTACTTAAGTATCCTTAAATTATGTGTACCTGCTGAGAATTTATCGATTCTACATCGCACCATTTTTGTATTAATGAATGCATTTTATTTCAGTTTTACTGAATATTTCAAAATAGTCACGAATTATTTACCGACTATTGTTTGTCACTCCAATAGCATTCGTAATTTGGAAAAATAATGATCGCATTAAGTTTACAGAAAAGGACAAAGATTTTTCTTTTCTATTTAATTCAGTGTAGTGAGTGAAAATACACTTTAAACCTATAAAAGTCAATCAAATTAAACTTGTTTGAAATTTTACTAAAAACAGTAGACTTTAATTTCGCCATTGACTTCACCTGCGAAAAAATACAGCAAAACGAACACAAGCAAACCCTGTTACAAGATTATTTAAATGCATACATGTTTCTCATCCTTGATAATCGTTTATATTCCGCCAATAATTAAAATCGCTAGAGTGTAATCGATTTCGTGGTCCAGTGGTTAAACGACGACCGGTAACGACATCTACTTAAAGATTCCACAGACTTCCTCTCATCGCCAGCACCGTTCCCAATACGTCCAATTTTGATAAATGATGAACAAGACAAGACCAAAAGTAAAACAAATCGACAACAATCGTTGGTAAACGTGTAATGACACCGTCATAACGCACAAAACTATTACAAAACGCTCATTGTAAAGCGCGGCCTGTAGCAACAACATAAAATCAATTTCAAAACGATTGATCATTGCGAACAATAAATAATAGCAGAACGAAAATACTCAAGGGCGATTCCGGTGTTATACACGCAGTAGAAAAAAAGTGCATTGTTAGAATGATTGTTAACTGGGAAAGTCGTGATTTTAGACATTTCTTAGCCTTGGACCGCCATCTAAGGCAGAGAAATGTATCATCTTAATAAATGAATCACGATGGAGATAAGTCGCCGTCTGTGTCATGGCAAATCCGGTATTCAAAGGGTTGCGAAAGACATGGACCATTAACTACTGAATCAGTATTGAAATGTGTAGGAGAAAAGTATCTATTGACATTATCAGATGCGCACATTTAAGTACAAAACCGCTTCAGTCGAAAAATTGACCATCATTAAAGACGGAACGACTTCTATATTAGTTGTATTATGTAGCTTGACGAAATTTGAATTTTAAATATTTCATAGGAGATTATTTTTAAAATAAAATTACTTTTACCAAGCACTGTTCCTTTCTACAGAAGTCGTAAATGTAAATTCACTCTTTATTATAGTTTTTACAAAAGATTGTTTAATCGTGAGTATTAATTTACATGTATATATTTAAATTTTACGACCTGATTTTATATGATAATAAAACAAACTTTTAGAAATTAAAGTTTCCCCAAAATTAAGTGTTGAAAACTAGAATGTTGCAAATCATATACATCACGTTTTTATTAAACACGTAAAATGTTTAAAAATTCTGCAGTTGTGTAAATGATTTATTTCGGCATTAAATATTAATGAATTTCTGAGAGAATTATTAATTGCTGCCATTATTTTTTATTTGCTTATTTGCGGATGAGCTGAACGTTTCCCAGGAATAGGAAAGAATGTCTTAATAAAGTGAAAATAACCAAATTTCCAAAATTTATTGCGTGTGTTGCAATTTTTTATTCACCTGAGATATCTGCGTTAATAAAGAATATGTACAGATTATTTTAACAATTACTTTCTTTTCTTGCATTAATCTTAATAATGTTTTGTTATGAGAAAAGTTAAACAGAGCTATTTTATTTTACTCACATCTTGCTAATCGTTAAAAATGCAAATATATGTCCATTTTTATGACAAAGAATGTTAAAGTTATTGTTTCATTCATTTTTTGCAAGCTGAAACTTTATTTACGACTCCACCTGACGTATGTTAAAAAACAGGTCACAAATACACTGAATGATGTAAATGGTACTTGGAACCCGAGGAGCAAGCGATTATTTAATTCTATGGTTCAGGTTGTAATTTGAGAAATATTATAATCGTGTTTAAGGAGTGACAACAATGCTTGTATCAACTATTTAGAATACCTAAAATTTCCCAAATTGTGTATTTATAGGCATAATTATTTATAATTTAACAAGCAGGTATTATGTCAAGTTACCACTTCATAAAAATAACATTGTTTACGAAACTAGAAGTGTTCGCATATAAAACAACATTTTTCGAGAATCAGTTTTAATTTCGTAAGTTATGAATATTCAAATTTTTGTCACAATTTTTTTTTGACACAATTTTGTAAGTAAATACAAAAATCGATCAAACATGTGTTTAAACCAGAATGTCTATTTAAATCCCCTAGTTGCATACATGCATGAGAGCACCCTGTGACATTGTGACAACTCTTGTTGAAAATTATTTTAATGTAACAGCTTTGTTTTATTTAAATTTAAAATGTGACAATGCTTACACGCCTACCAGCAACAAGCAGTACAACATGACTCTAGTCCTCAGTCCTTATAAGTAAAATTTATCCAACATCTATTGTGTCAAAAGCAGGTGACAAATCATCTTTGACACCTATTGACCTCAAATCATCTCACCTGGAGAGTGATTATACAGGAGGTGGTGATTTTAAATTAATCATTACTGACGCGTACATTATTGGCGAAAAGGTTAATGGAAAGGTACAGGGACGAAAAATATGTTGCTAATTAATTAAAGGGTTAAAATCTGTGAATCGATATTTTAAAAAATGACAATAACATTGACGTCAAAATTTTTGATTGATGGTGTAGCTTTTGGCATGTTTGCAGTGTTGGTTAGTGAAACTCCATACTAAAATCTGTGATTTGGCATTTCTTAAATTTTTATTAAATTTTTTAGTGTGATAAACTACGCAAAAATGTTTCGCCGTACTGAGTAATTTATGATATTTGTTTAAAAAAAATCAAAAGTTTTTTCTAAAATAATGTAAAATTTGGTCGAATTAGTTGTGGGCATTATGGACATACTGTATAAATCGCTGTAACAACTGCTTTCTATTGTTATGTTTGTACACAATTTAATTTTTTTGCAAAATGTGTAAACATATATTATGTAACAGTAATATATACACAAATCACGACGTTGTTGAATATTTAATAAAACAGTTATTTTTACGAGGCTGAAGTCTGTTTGCAATGATTATTTACTCGTCTAGCTGCATTACTGCATTTATAATGAAGTAGCAAAATTAATGTGAGAACTAGTGGGATGTGAATGGTACTTAAATATATATTATTTTGAATACCTCATTTGGTTTAATGTCATTTCATTAATGAAAAAGTAAAATATATCTAGGAGAAAATGCGGTAACAATAAATTAAGTGTTTTTATTATCAAATTATTTTTGTTAACAAAACTAAAACAAGACTGCACGAATTTTTATACTGTCAGTTCTCTATTGTGTTCTTTCCCATCAGTCCCACTACTTTCCGTCCACAAGGTCGAAAAAGAGAAGTATGAATTAAGCACGTTTTATATTCATCTTGTCTAAATAGAAAATTTTATTATTTTTTTTAGTGATGGAGGCAACCACGGAATCTGCTATAAATAGGTAATTGCATAGAAGTTGACATTTAGGATTGATTAACAATTTCCAATTTTACTTCAATATATTTTCAATTCACTTTGGAGTGTCAATTTTAATTCATTTATAATCAATTTATCAAAATTTTGAAACGACGTCATCCAGTTTTTGGGACAAATAAATAAATTTTGATTAGTTACGATAATCTTCAAATGTCTGCAAGCTTGCACAGCATTTGGTTTTGTAGTAAAATTGTAAAATACTTTAGTCCGATTTTAATTTTTTTTTTCGAAAGTTTAGATAGAATTTACTTTGCAAAATTTTAAGATGACGTAGTCAAATATGTAGTTGCTGGGGATGATGAGACAATTTTGATTAGTGTTGTATAGTCTGGTAAATTTAAAGTGGCAGACCAACTTTTTAAACCGCTATGAGATTTTCATCCGTCTATTTAGGAATAGATATCTGCACAGGAGCGAGATACAAATGGGTCGACCGAGGCGACGTAGAAAGAAAGGTCAGGTTGAAATGATATTGTCATGGCGATTTTAAAAGTTAGATCTGTCAGTTTAAATTTCCCAGACTATACTAAATATTATATTCCTAAAATATATCTAAAATTTCATCACTATTGAGAATTGAGATCGGGGTGGGTATATGTGGCGCTTAATCTTTGGCTTTATTTTTTTCTTAAGATACAGAGTATTCTTTGAACAATACGATACTCAAAACCATGTTTTTAATTTAAGCTCCGCCTTCTTGGCTCACGACGAATAAAATAAAACATCACAACTGAGATAGGGCGGGTGGGAGGGGCTTATATTTTGTCTTTTTGTCTTAATATGTGTAGTCATCTTTTCATCAAGAAACTTAAACATGTTTAAAATGGTAAATTTGTATAGGGAAAGACCGATTTTGCAATTACGCTCCGCCCTTCGGTCTGACAACGAATGAAAAATTCATCACGATTGAGATCGAGACGGATGGGTGCGACTCTTTTGGTTTTCTTTTTTAATTAATACATTTAGTTTTCTCTGTATCACACGATCACACGATTACTTAAGAACATATTTCACATGGTAATTACTCCTAGAAAAATAAGGATTTTACAATTAAGCTTCGCCTCTCGGCTAATAACGAATAACAAAAATCATCAGAATTGAGATAGGGCGAGTGGGCGGGGCTTATGTTTAGCCTTTTTTTTTTTCTAAATATACATAGCCATCTTTTCACAACAAGAAACTTAAAACATGGTTACAATGGTACATATTTGCAAGTAATTATGGATTTTGCAATTATGGGGCGGAGCCTAATTGCAAAATCGATATTT